TTGCTGAAAGCAAAGAGAACTTAAAATACTTACTGATGAGTATGAAAGACCACATATAAAGAAAACAAAAATCCTCACAACTGGACCAATAAATAACATCATGATAAATGAAGAAAAGATTGAAGTTGTCAAAGGCTTCATTTTGCTTGGATACAACCTCGACATTCGTGGAAGCAGAGTCAAGAAATCAAATGATATATTGCATTGGGCAAATCTGCTGCACAAGACCTCTTAAAATGTTCAACAGCAAAGATGTCACTTTGGACACTAAGGTGCTCCTGACCCAAGTCATGGTAGTTTCCATTGCTATTTTGAGCTTTCTCTTTTATTTTTTAACAGCCAGTGGATTGGAAAGACTTGAAGGAGATCTGTGTATAGATGTAAAATAGCAGTAACTGCCAAATTTAAAGGCCTATTAAGTTCTGGGCAGTGCATTAAGCATTTTAATATGTACATTATCTCTAATTCTTACAATATAGTACTTAGAGACATTATATGACTTGCCTTAAACCAGACTTAAATCAAATCCTTAATACAAAGGATTTGAACTCTGGTCTGTGTAGTTCCAAACTTCCTACTCTTTCAACTGTATCACTTCCTACTCTTCCTACTCTTTCAACTGTGTCACTGAGTGATCTGGTAAACTGCTCTATGAGTTTTCCTAAAAACATGTTACTAAAAGGCAGTAAGAAGTACTGGCGATTCTGTGCTACTCAGAAATCAGCTAGTTTATGTACGGTAATGTGACACTGTGGGATAAAGCCCTGGACCACAAGATTGGTTTGAACCACAAGGTCAGCAGTTGAAACTCACCAGCCACTTCTTGAAAAGCCTATATAGGGTCATTCTGAGTTGGAATCATACAACGGCACTTAACAACAACAATCTTTGCTTCTGTAAAGAATTACAGCCTCTGAAATGCTCTATAGTATAGATAGGGTCACTATGAGTCGGAATAGACTCTGTGGCAGTGGGTTTTGTTTGTTTGTTTCTTTCTTTAGAAGATGTCTTTCTAAAACAGAGAGCAGATCACTTTTATTTAACCCAGTCAGGCCCAAGTCCGAGAATATGATGTTTACAGCATCGATGCTTCCATTACTACTATCATAAAACCTTTGGCAGTGGTTTTGTACAGACTCTCAGAGTAAAATTATTTGTCACTTTTTTGGCACAGTGAGGAATGCTCAGCGGAAGCATATTCTTGCAGCCCATGACATAATCCACAAACATACTGAAACCATGGTCAGAGAGAGTTTTGCCAAGGAAGAGCAGGATGAGGCCTCTGGCTCTGAGGAAGTAACTCAATATGAGGAAAACATCTAAGGTGGGTTTGATTTCTTATCTGCAATTTTTTTTTGGAGGGGAGGCATAAGAAAGAAGTAGGAAGAAGAGGAAAAGCATATTGTTCAACTTTGTGCTATACTCTAACCATCGTAATGTGGCAAGATTTCTGCTCAAAAAATGAAACATTCCCCTTTAAACTGGCATATTTCATTTAAACTTTAGAATATGCTATTGAAATTGTTAGCGAGCAGTGTTGAGAGTATAGCAATTGAATTCTAACGATCCAGAAAACTTATGATCCAGAAAACAGGAATAGGACTCTAAAGTGTTTTTATGTTTTGTTTTCATCATGTGACAGTACTCCATAATGGAGTCCTGGTGTGGCGCTGTAGGATAAGCACTGAACCGCAAAGTCCCTTTAAACTGTAAGGTTGGTGCTTCAAACTCACTAGCCTCTCCTCAGAAACCGCATACAGGATCTCTAGGCACTTTAACACAACAACGTACTTCATAACAAGTAAAGCTATAGAGTGTGCCTGCTTTATAAAATGCTTGTTTTTATGGAACCAGACAAGGTAGGTCCTAAAGCAGTGTGCTAATTGTTAAGTACAGCAGGAGACAGTGGCAGAACTTGCCCATTTCTAGCCCAAATACTTTCTGCATTTTTACCAAGCATTGGTGTTTGGCTTGACCAAACGCTCAAACTCACAAGACTACGTTAAGCCACTTTTGACATCAGTCTCCTCAGAAAGACTGAAGACAGACACCACAGCTTTCTGTCAAGCATGCATTCTAGCATTTCTCCTTCTGTAAGAATTCTCGCCACAGTCCACATAGAACAAAACACAGCCCTATATTTTTAGGCTCCAGGTTGCATAAGTCAGGTGCAAGGAAGAGAGATTTACCTTGTTTAGGTGCAGAAACTGCCTTTGCTTGGAAGTCCTAGGAGTCAGTATTTCTAATACTTCAGGGTTCCCTCAATGGACTTACCCAGTTATAGCCAAGCTATGGCTTTCTATTATGTATTCATATTAATAGTTCACTTATATTTCCTCACTGTCCAGATGCAGTTTAGCAACCAGGGGCCATTTTTATCTTAAGCAATGTTGCTTAGTAACATACCTAATGTTGTTGTTGTTAAGTGCCGTCGAGTCAGTTCCGACCCATAGCGACCCTGTACAGGGTTTCCGAGGGTGTAAATCTTTACAGGAGTAGAAAGCCTCATCTTTCTCCCACGGAGCGGCTGGTAGTTTCGAACCGCTGACCTTAAGGTTCGCAGCCCGATTCGTAACCACTATGCTACCAGAGCTCATACCTAATACAGACCAGTTTATTAGGTTATTAGGGAAACAGAGCTAGAGAGTCAATTGAAAATAAAATTCTCAGATAGAAGGAAATGGGATTTAACACTTTGCCTATACCTTCTCCCCCAACCCTCCCACAGTGGAGGCAATTCAGGATTAGAGAAAGGTCGTAAAGGCTAGAGAGAAATTTTAGCCTGATATTCTTAAGGTTTGGGAGTTGACCTGCTCTGCCACTACCTCACTGTGTAATCTTTTTTTTTTTTTAAATGTTTTATTGTGAATTATATGATAGTTTACATGGGAGAACTTTAGTTTTACATTCATTCCATCGTATATTATCTCACTGCCATCCCCTTCACTGTGTAATCTTATACAAACAGTTTTCCTTCACTTGAAGTTTGTCTGTGCACATGTGCCTATGAGGGAATCTATCTACATTTGGAAACCTTAAGTCCCAATTAAAGGAGATCTTGGAAAGAAGGTTAAGATGAAGTGGAAATTAAAGAAGAAAGCAGAGAATAAACTGAAAAAAGAATGTTAAATGTCAAGTAGAGGCTGTAAATTACAGCAGAAAAGTTTTTGTCTTAATTAGTAGTGAAATAACCTCTGAAATCATTAAAAATATAAGATGTGGTTATTTATATTTGACTTATCAATGACAAGGTCATTGTTATTATCGTGTGCCTTCGAATCGGTTCCTACTCATAGCAACTCTGTATAGAGCTGCAGTTTGTAAATCTCTGTGGGAGCGCAAAGCCTCTTCTTTCTCCTGAGGAGCAACTGATAGATTCGAATTTCTGAAATTGCAGTCAATAGGCTACTACATAACCCACTACGCCACCAGCATGTAGCTGGTACATGCAAATGTTTTATATTGTCTATGTAATATGAATTCAAAGACTAAAGCATTTTGCCCACACTATTACTGTGATAAGAATCATTACTAGTATTGGGTAGTAATTTTCCTTACATACAAATTGAATAAAATGAATAACTTTTACACAGTTTGAATTTACTTCTTGATCCATTACAGGCCTGGTGGCCTGTGAAATCAAGCCAGAGGAGTTGATAAAATGACCTTCTCTTGTACACTTAGTGAACGTTCAATACTTTTTTTTAAAACCTATGTGAAGCATCTATTCACATATCACCAAACCCAGTGCCATTGGGTCAATTGTGACTCATAGAAGCCCTGAAGGACAGATTAGAACTGCTCCATAGGTTTTCCAAAGCTGTCCATCTTTATAGAAGGAAACTTCACATCTTGTTCCAAGAAGAGGTAGGTTCTAACCACCAACTTTTTGGTTAGGAGCAAAATGCTTTAACCACTGTGCCAGTAGGGTTCCTTGAAGTATATGTTGTTGTTAGTAAGTGCCATAGAGTCGATTCTGACCCATAGCAACACTGTAGATAGTTTCCAAGGAGCAGTTGATGAATTTGAATCGCTGACCTTGCAGTTCAAACAACTTTGCAATCTGATGCATCAGCCCATAGCGCCACACCAGGACTCCATTCGAAGTATAAAGAAAACCAAAAAACATCCAAACTCAGTGCCACCAAGTCAGTTTTGACTCTTGAAGATCCTATATAGGGTTTCTGAGATTATGAATCTTTTCATTAGCAGAAAGTCTCATCTTTCTACCAGGAGCAACTGGTGGGTTTGAATTGTTGAACTTGTAGTTAACAGACCAACTCTGAACCCACAGCACCATGTTGTTATTAAGTGACTTCAAGTTAGTTCTGACTCATAGCTGAAGAGAGGCAGGTGAGTTTGAACCACCGACCTTGCAGTTTAAACTGACCTTGCAGTCCAGTGCATTATCTCATAGTGCTATACACCGCACCATGGTGGTAGTAGTAGTTACGTGCCAGGGAGTCAGTTCCAACTTATAGCAACCCTGTATAGGGTTTCCAAGGCTATAATCTTTACGAGAGTAGAAAGCCTCATCTTTCTCCTATGGAACAGCTGGTAGTTTCGAATTGCTGACCTTGAGGTTAGCAGCCCGACTCGTAACCACTACACTACCAAAACACAGAGCACTACACAGCACCACAGTAGTTATAAAATCTAGTTGTCAGCTAACTAAAGGCATTCAGCAAAGAACAATAGATTAGTGA